TAAAGTGTGGATAAACGATTTAAAGTTTTTCTACTTTATATTTTATTTCTTTTTCCTTTTTCTTTTTTTTTGTTTTCCTCTTATTTTCCCTTTTGTCTCTCATTCGTTTTATAGTCGTCCTCGTCCTCGTCCTCGTCTTCGTTGTTGTCCTCGTCGTCGTCGTCGTCGTCGTCGTCGTAGTGCTTTTCGGTGGAGAGTCTCTTGCACTCGTCGTATAACGTAAGTCTTTAAAAAAAAAAAAAAAAGCGAAAAAGAAGAAAAAAAAACGTAGCGAAACACGGTGAGCAATAAAACCGTAGGTCGCTAGTTGTTTTCCAGGAAGGTTACCGGTTCCTCTCCTCTCCTCTTCTCTCCTCAGCACATCGTGCCTTTTTACCGTCTTTAATTGAACCTCCGTACAACTTGAAGGATCTCGTCCATATTCCCTTTCCCTTTACCCCTTGTCCCCACCCCATTATTCTCTATCTCTGAAGAACTGTGTTCTCGCGGTGAAACCCAAGCTCGGAACGTACGCACGACTACTTTTCTCTCTCGATGGGGTATCCTAGGACCCAAACGAAAGGAGTTTATGATTTTATTGCGAGCGCAATACGGCCGGGCCCCTGGAAGAGAAAAAGAGAACCAGGTTCCTCGTAAAAACGACGATATCAGCCACGTATTCCGTAAAACCTCTCGCTCCGTATCTTCCCAGGATGATGACTCTCACTACGTAGATGCGAAATAAAATGACGTTGGTAGGTTGGTTGGTTGGTTGCATCGTCCTTAGACCGCTATATAATATTCTCTTATTTTACCTTAAGCACTCGTCGAGAGGATAAAAAGAGAAGAAAAAACAACAGAACAAAAAAAAAAAATACAAAAAAAGAAAAATAAACAACGAGAGCAATAAATTTATCGCTTTATTAAACAATAAAATATTTCTTTTCTTTTTTTTTCAATGAGCATCTTTTTCGTAATTATCAACGTTCAAAACTTTGACAAAAATTCATTTGATGGTATCTATCTTGAGAACGTCTCATTTTTATCACGATCAATTTCTTTTGAATATATATATGCTATAGGTACGTTCCGAATTGGTTTATCCTACGATTTCGATTCTATTCGAATTGATTAATGGTTATTCACGACGTCCATAGAGAGTTAAGGAGAATTTCTAGAGGAAAACTCAATGAAAAGTTCGACACCGATATAAAAATCCCAACTTTCTTTGCTGGTAGAAAAATAATAAAAAAAAAAAAAGAAGAGAAGAGAACATGAGAGAGAGAGAGAGAGAGAGAGAGAATGGAAGAGGAGAGGGCAGGGGGTAAGTGGGTGGGTAGGAAAGAGAAGAGGGGTCGATTGAAAAAGCGAGTGTACCCGGCCGTTTAACGTACGCTGTTAAAAATGGATTCACCCTCGTACTTTCCACCAACTTCTCGAGACATTAGATTATGGCACGTACCCTTTAGAGTTTGCCGCAAACCCCGTCTATCTTTTCTTCCCTTATTCCACTTTTCTTTTTTTTTTCTTCTTCTATGTAAGAAGGAAAGAAAAGTTTTTTTCAACGATAGTGCTGGAAGCTAACCGTTCGTTCGTTCGTTCGTTCTTTCCAACCTTTCGTTTTCTCCCTTTCCACTCTTTACCTGTGTTTCTTTCACGTCTAAAGCCTTTCCGGCTAAACTTCCGGACCATTAATTTACATTAGGACATTTTTCACGAGCGTTAGTACTCGACTATGCTCGTGCACCTTCAAATTGGCGGTCGGTCGGTCTTCTTTTTAACACGGTTCTCTCATACACGAAAGAGCCCTCGAGTCGTTTCATACTTCTACTACTACTCCTGTTTTTTTTTTCTTACTACTTTCTTTTTTTCTTCCATTCCCCTTGAAATCCTTCCTTACTTCTATCACCCTAGTAGCTGCTTTTCTCTTGTCGTCGTCGTCGTCGTCGTTGTCGTGCTCGAAATTCTCGTTTATTAAACGACTACACGAAGATGAACTTAGAAAAATGGGGTTTTCCAACGTATATATATATATATATATATATATATATATATATATATATATTTCAAATCAGATCGGAATTTTATTAGTTCATAGTTTGAGCATATGTTATCGTTGTTTTAAATCATTACTTATCCACCTATGTTATCTAAAAAATATATTGACTGGTAAAAAATGTCATGCTACGTATTATATATGCTTGTGTGCATACATTCAATGTCCCCAATGTTAACAAACTTTCAAGTGTTAACAGTGAAAATATATCTTAAAATAAAATGTTAACTTTCTATAGGCTCTTTCTATATATTATATAAACATTCTTAAATTGTTGTTTCATCGATGGGTTACATACTTTTGTAAAGAATCTTATTTATTAACTCGTAAAGTGGTCATGGATATTAATACCAATGACGTTGCCGTTAACGTTTGCTGTCTTCTTGTTACCAACTGACGTGACACGCAAATAAAAGAAAACGATTAAAATGAAGATGAGAAAAAGGAAAAATAAGAGAATGAGAGAGAGAGAGAGAGAGAGAGAGGTGAGATGTAAAGAAAGAAACAAAGATAACGGACAAATTTCGCGCGTTTAAATGTTTATACGTTAGCCTCGTGTATGCCGTGCTGCTAGCGACGTTTATTACACGCGTGTCATCGTACGTGCTATTAAAACGAGGATGAAAGAGCGAATAGAAGTGGGGATAATACCACGATGCATATATCAAGCCACGACGTTGAACGCCGCTGTCCGATATCATGCATGCTCGTCCCAACGACGATTCGATATGTCATCGAGATATCGATCGATATCGTAAACCGTTCTTCCATGTTTATGAGATCGTTCATATGTCGAAGCCCAGA